AAGATACCAGAATTGTCTGGACTTCCTCCCTGCAAGATACTTGTTTTGCAACACGAATACCCGTAATTTGAAAGCTAAAATACTGACGTCTGAGTTGTCCTCTGGTGCTCAGCTGTGCACAGTCACGGGGGTGGCAAGGAAAGATTCAGATCTTTGCTGAGCAAGGCAACAACAACAAAAATCCTCTCTGAAGTTTGCAATGGAGACTTGCCATGATGCCAAGCATGAGGAAAGCCACTGCATTTTAACTCAAAGCTACCATAGGAGAGCCAACAGCATCTGGAAATTAGGGGTATGCTTTTCATGGTGTTCATATTTGTCTGTTTTGAACAGAGCTGAGAGGAGCTTGGCTTGAAGCCACTGTCCAAAACAATGTAGGGAAGCATATGTGGTTTTAGAATTACTCAATCCTATTTAAGCTTTCAGTTTTTCCTGTCTTTCAATCCAAAAGGTATGAGGTCTCTGAGACTCAGTTTCCTCCACGGTAAGCAACTCTATCCAGAGCGCTCACTAAAATAATTTACCATGGCAGTTTACACATGCAGTGCTATGTCTTTCCTCCAAAAAGCCACTTGGAAACAGTAAGAACATAAAGGAAGAAAAGAAAAAAAAATGAAAAGGACTCACCGGAATACATTACAGATCGTTTAATACTAATATTCCTATTAGCCATTGTATCATTGCTAAAACTTAGCAGCCAGGAGCAGCAGAATGGAGAGGAGCCACCTTGCTGTTCCACATGGAGAAACCCCACAGTGCCCAGCAGCAAAAGGTAGAACTGTTCACAGCTTAAGGAATTTCGCCCAGAGCTTAGGATCTGTTCATAAAGGATGCATCACTGAAATCCAATCTTTGCCCTAAAGTGGGGTCTGAGCAGCACACAGACACTAGGCTGGACACCTGTCTACAATTAGTTTCACCTACAATTCCTCACACGCGGCGGTTTGAGCCATGGGATAATCCTCCAGATGAGGGCATGGTGAAGTCTGGTGGGGTGTATTGCTCGTGTAATTAAAAGCTTCTACTTTCAGGGTAATCCTATGTTGCACATCTCTGCTGGTATTACTGCTTCAAACTCTATGGCTGATCTAAAGAAAAAAAAAAGCTGATTTTTTCCCCCCAAGTACTAAGTGTGTCTTATTCTAATTTTCCTGGCTCTTCTGAATGAAGAATACTTTATTCCATTCTTCGCTATTTCAGTAAAGGACTATCAAAACCTGAAAGAAAATAAATAAAATACTAGAGTTTACTTATAGTCCATCAGAGAGGGACCAAGGAAAAAACACTCAGCAGACTGATATTATGTTATGATCCTGCAGACAATATTGACTTCAAAGTGTTGAATATTAATAGCAAAATGCTCTTCTGTAAAGCTTCACATAATTCTACACAGAGATGAAGATAATGAAGCTGCCAGGATGTAATGTTTGAAATGTGGCAGATGAGACATATTTACTAGCAAGCAATAAATATTTAAAAAGTGCTAAATTTGAGCATTTAAACTAAGATCTACAGACATTGGGAGAACAAGTGCAACTCATTTGATAATTCCAAGCATTACAGCTAATTCTATCTTGTACATTGACATTTTTCTGCTTTCTCCATTGTTGCATGGCATATCTATTTGGAAGCACTTCAAAGTAATAATATAGATGTTGCTTTTTGTTCGGAACAATAGAATTAATGGAGGCATTAGTCAAGCTGTCTATTTGAAGAACTCTGAAAAAGACAAAATTAAGAAGAAAAAAAGAGGATCAGATGCTGGTAAGAAGCACCTGAACCGTCGCTTAACTGACCTTTCTCCTCTCTACTGAAATTCCAGTTCCTGCACGCGTCTAATTCAGGGGTTGCTGGTGTACTTCCATCTCTCATCCCAGCCCGGGTTATGGAAGTCCAGCGGAAGGCCCGGAGGATCGTGCTGCTGGGGAGGACTTGGCTCTGCTTCATTCTGAGTTGAGCCAGAGATCACGGATACCGGCTCGTCGTGCAGGAATTCATTTTCAGAGCTCTTCACGGAGGGAAGATCCTTGTTCTTCTCCAAGAACGGGCTTCTTTCCTGCAACGCACACAAACGTTCCTGGAGGCTGAGGGTGGCCGATCCGCTGCGGAGGCCAAGGGCGGCTCCCGCGCCAAGGCAGCGTCGTGCCGGGGAGAGGGATGGGATCCCAAAGCAGCCGCTGCCGGAGCAGGGAGCTCCCATCTGTACCCCCGGCCCCGGCTCAAACCACTGCCGCCTCCTGCCTGGAAGCTGCTCCCGCTGCTCCCCGCATCTCCACTCGAAGGAGGCCGGGGGCTGTGTTACCACCTCCATCCTTGGGAAGGTTTTTCTATGGGGGAGACCACCGGGAAGGTCGGGAAGCTTTAGACTATGGCAAGAGGAGAGAGTGAAAGCAGCTGTTCTGTGAGCAGCAGGACTCCAGAAGCCGCTTTCCTACAGATCTGGATTTTTTCCCCCTTCATTTTCCCCTCCATAGGAGTCCAGCTGGGTTGTATGCACAAGAGGATTAACCAAGGCTGTTTTTATTCCCTAGGTGGGGCAATTACTGGAATCTGGTACTCAGAAGCAGCAGCTTTTCCTGGAATTTGCAACTGTCCACTCTCTTCAGACTTGGCTGAGCACACCAATGAGCTTAAGAATTATTGCAGAGATGTGACACACAGAAGATCATGTGCATAAGCTCCAATTCTTCTAGGAAATCTGGCTAACAGTGTCCTGCATTTCCTCCATCAGCCCCAAGACAAATGCAACAAAACTCAGTCTGATCAGTCCTCCCAGGCTGCACACAAAGGTGCCTCCCCCAAACAGAAGGGCTCAAATAAATTGGATTTGTTGGGATTATTTTTTGATCTCCATTCATTTCAAACAGCCAAGTATGTATGGATAATAATATAATATGATAATATACCAGGAGAATTCAATCTGCTCTGCCCTATCTCACCTTCCACACCGTAAGCTTGTTAAGTTACTGATAGGATAGCTTAACAAAGTGCCTTAAATGTCAGCTAAAATTCTACCTTCTGCTGCTCAGCAAATGGTTCCTCATCAAACTCTCTCTCAGTAGATCGATTGGCAAATTCTAGCTCCTCTTGCCTTTGATGCTTCTCTAAAGCAGCCAGCACAGCATCATGGAGCGTTAGAAAGAACCTTTCTTTGGTGATACAGCTGTCAAAGAAATCATTCTTCTCAAAGATTGCTATCACGGATACTGTAAGAAAGGGGGGAAATAAGCAAACCAACTAAAGTCGCACCAAGCAGCCTGGCTGAAACATTTCCCTGCAGCTTAGAACTCGCCCTTGCTAAGTCAATATTATGGAGTATTGACTATAAGACAATATTATAACTATACTCACAGTGACAGCTGGCTATCAGGACCGTAATACCAATATTGTGAAACATATAGAAGATCTGTGGAAAGAATTCCAGACTGGCATTAGCTATTTTGTTTTAATCAGGCATGCCAGAAACTAAGATATAAATAGGAAAAAAAGAACTCGCTTGTAATTTTGCATCTTTGGAGAACACCCTTATTCCAAAGTCTCAAATTCTGTTTCTTAATTCAGCATTAAAAAGCCAAGATGTCCCAGATGCTGATGAATCCTGACTCCAAAAACCAGGGCGGGTCACAGCCAGCTCCCATTCTGGTCCTCCCACAGCTCCCTGTGCAGCTCCCAGGGTTATTTCTTTGCTTAAACAAGAAGTTCTCATAGGAACAGGCAAATATGAAATGATTCTTAATATATAGATGTCATGCCCGTGTGTAAACGAGGGGTTTGGGAACCTGTTATTTTCAAACATGACCTGTAATTCTCTGGTTCCCTCAATTTTCACATCCAGCATTTTTAGATAGATCACCTTAGTCTTAAAGGAATCAGATTTTAGGTGGATAGATTCTCACCAGTCCCTCAATATCCAGCCCTTTGTAATTAGAAGATCTCAAAACAATTACTAATAAAGAAATCATTATTTGCTATTGAAAGTTCAGGCCAAAATGTACAGAGAATCACAGAACTTTATAAAATGCAGCTGGGAGGAGCCTAGAAAGATTTTTGACTTCATCCCCGTTTTTCAAGAGGAAAGTACTAATAAAGAAATCATTATTTGCTATAGAAAGTTCAGCCCAAAATGTACAGAGAATCACGAACGTTACAAAATGCAGCTGGGAGGAGCCTAAAAAGATTTTTGACTTCATCCCCATTTTTCAAGAGGAAACTTATATACTGGATGGCAAATAATTCTTAAAGGATTTTAGGGAGATCAGCTCAGTGCACAATTACTCCCAAGAAGTGTTAGTCTAACTTGTTATCAAGCAAAAACCTTTTGAAGTTTTGCAGTTGAGCTCCAGAGTTTGAGGGAGCTGAGTAAGAATCCATCTGGAACTGCATCTTTCTGAGAAGCACAGATACATGAAATTTATTTTTGCTAAATATATCTGCATTGGCTACGATCCCCACTTGAAGACTAAGAAATTCAAGGCACACTTCAAAGACAAGGCTAATTAGGCAATCAGCAAAAATAACAAATCACTCTCAGAGAAGACAGCTGGTAGTTTTATATCTGATATTTCTAAGACAAAGGGAGTTTTTAAAATGTCCAGCTAGAAGAAAAAAATAAAAAACTGCTAAAATGGGAAAAACAAATCAGACATGTTTATAAATGTGTTTTTGTTCCTATGATTCTAGAACCAGTGCCAATGCACGACAGGTTTTTCCATGTCCTTTGTATTGTCAGTGTGGCTTCTGATTAAATACAAGAACAAAAATGAAGTGTTTTTACTGGAGGGAAAGCTATAAATTTCTGAAAGGCAACAGGTAAATCTTGCACCCTTCAAAGTCATCTGGAAGACGCACAAATCGTTACATAACAGGGCACATTAGGCCAACAGGCAACATGACATCAGGTGAAGTTTAGGCTTTGCACTTACATGCATTTAGGTTGGCACTTATGTGCATTCAGGTCGCTTACCTGTCGCAGCAAGTCTGAGGCTTGCAAATCCACAAATTGTACCATGCTGAAGTCTAAAATAATGGTGTGGACTGGACAGAGCAAACGTGTTTTGGGCTCTGTTTCCTCATGCAGCAGTACTGAGGAGTTATCTAGTGCAGAGACGGAGGAAGGGCAAGTTCCTTTCCCTTCGTCCTGGCTCTTGGCAGCCTCCAGGCCCGTTTTAAGCCCCGGGGATGCAGGCTGTGCTTGAGTTGCTCCCACCAAGAGTATCCTGGAGCTGGGTCTGTCTCCATACTTTGACCAATGCACCAAATTAAATGAAGATGCTGAGGAATCACTCCCTGTTTGATGTCGTTTCACCAGTTTCTCTGTATATGGTATCTACAATGGAAAATGGAGAACACACCAGTGGTTGCGAGAACTGGGCCTAGCGCGTGGAATTTTTTTTTGCTGCAAGTAAGACTGTAAATCCTATGATACTCCTTGTCTCATGGTAAAAACACCTCTGAAATAGCACTAAATATAGCAAAAGAGTGTGCAAAGTAGTAGGTGACTCAGGGAAGCCTCAGATGTGGTTACCAGAATGTGTTCAGGACTACCTCACTCTTTCACACCTCAAAATGGCCTGTGATACTGGAATATTACTTGTTACTTTTAACTTTCATGAAGGAAATGATGATAAAAGAGGCTGCCCCTTGGTTTCATGCAACATCTCTTTTCACTATAAGAAAACTTTTTATTTTCCTCCTTCAAATTTTGAAGATATATTGCCTTTCTGAGCAACACTAACAGGCCCTGACTGGCCAAGTTCTGCAGACCTTTGTACCAATATTTTCTTTCTGTGGCAGCTGGTCAGTGAGTGGGCAAATTTCACTGATCTTTTTTTGTTGCAATTGTTGTTAATACTTTCAAATTTGAGCTTAGATAGTTCTATCACAGAAAATACAAGTGTGAAGAAATGCTTGCTTATTTTCAAACAGCAAATATATATATATGCTTTATATAAATACTTGCAGCTGTTCACGTTCTGACATGTTAAAAACATTGTTCTTAGCAACATAAAAACAGGCACCTCCAACAAACAAACTAGATATTTTTCCAAAGCTGACCCTAGGTGTTGGTTCAGGTTGATTGCAGACACAGGCACATTTAAAATCTTTTCCTTGCACTGAGGTGTCAGACAGACTAACTGAAATTAAAGCCCTCATTTCATTTTCGTCAAGAGGCACTGCTTTCATGTCCATCTAAAAAAGAAAAACAAGTTTTCGGGGAGTTATATTTGCCTAATGCAGGGTCTTAGAAACTTCTGCGGCCTGATAAAAGAAAAGTGTCATTTACCTTTTTTAACAAGTAGCTTTTGAAGTGCTTCATATTTGCAAAAGAGATGGAAGAACAGCACTGGAAGATTTTAACACCTTCAATTTCCATGGCCTGTAAAACAAAAGGTGACTTCTGTGGGGGTTATACCATCAGCTATTACCCTGCTCCCACTCTAAGCACAGAACTTGTCCGTTCACCCCGCATGCCGGTAGTGGTATGGGCAGCATGGACCTAATTAGCACAAATTAATCTAGGCCTCCTGCAGTTACAGGCATAGCTTATTTCCACAGCACTGCCTGCCTCCGTTTGGTGCAGGTCTTGCACTAACGTGTTAACAACATCCGTGCCCTCCCGACCGCCCCATCGCCAGGGAATCCGTGAGTCAGTCCAGCACGTGCAGTTATTGGGAAAACACATGTGGCGTGGACAAAACCCGACTGGAAAAGCAGCTCAGCAAAAACAAAGCTCTGCTGGCAGCGACGGCACCGCGGTGTCCCCCGCGCGCCCGGGACTCAGCTGGGCACGGAACCGCTTCCCGCTGCCACACTCGAACGTGCAAGATCTGAAAAGTTTGCATCAAACGGGTTGAGTCTGAATGGTCACCCCTAATCATTGCAGGAAAGGAGCTGGATTACAGAGAGAGAGAACATTTGGGGTTTTTGCTTCCTCTTACAGCTTTGTAGACGGATAAACTTCTATAAATATTCATGTTTGGAATCTGTCCCAGCACCACCATCTTCATCCTGAAACAAGATGTTTATTAGGTTTTTATAGGGAACAGAGGAGAGCCATCTGTTCCTAAACGCCTGATCTTCATTTCTCTCTTCTTCACTGGACACACCAACAGCAATTTCAGGGGGTGTGAATACAGAAAGCTATTTACTCATAATTCGGGTTCTTCCAGTAGGGAGGCAGTATATAAGCACACCCTTTAGGTACACTGGAAGCCATAAACTTGAATAGAAAGAGATTACTAATTTATGAGAGACTCCAGAAGATCTGACTGAAGTATTTACAGAAGCTGCTTTTCCATTTTCACATGTAAAGCTACACATCAACATGAACTCTAAGAAAAATCAGTATTTTGCTGTAAAAATTGCAAGTACCTGTGTGACCTCACGGTGATTACGAAGAAGGTGAAGCCCATGGAGATTGCTAAACCAACATCGAGGCCAAGACAAAGGACTGCTGCAAAAGTTACAAGCCAAATAACCTTCGAACAACAGACAGAGAGAACATTAGTAGTGAGAAGAAGTGAAATGACCTCCAAGCTCAGCCCTAACCAACAATTCGAGGTGTAAATCCAGCCAAGCTCAAGAATTTGCCAAGAACGAGGCAAATAACCAGCTGTGACTGAAACAAGGTGCTGAGAACTTGCCTGCTGGTAAGCACTTGAGTTTCTGAGGAAACAAAACTGCATAGAAGACACTAAATAAAGATTGGTCTTTACTGAAAGAACTTCTGATGCTGTAACTCACAGCACAGATGGAGACGAATGATTCCTGCTATGGTCAGCTGAATGAAATCACTTTCAGGAAATGATAGAAGCAGAGCTGGCAGATTTTTTATCCTTCCGGCCATCAAGTAGAGTATTGGCCAAGCCTTCACAATCCTCAGACCCCAGGACTATAAATCTGACACACAGCTCAAATCTCCAGCCTTTTTAACAGGGAGAAGAATAGTCAGGAGAAGCCACATGATACTGGGGGTCTTTCTCTTTAGGAGAGAGAAATCCTGCACAAGTGCTTACAAGCAGCCCCAGGTTATAGCTAGACCATTTCCTTCTCAGAGGATCTGGGAACCAGGAGCAATGATCAGTTCTGCCTGCACAGAAATAGCAAGTAGCTTCATAGGGGTTTCAGTACAATTCTTTGGGTGAATATTTCAAACGATCCCATTTCTAAGAGAATGAGTTTTGCTCTCCCAAACTGTGCCTTTCCCCCTTTAAAGCACCTTCCAGTTCTAGGTGGCTTTTTTGTCACTTACTAAATGATACTTATCCTGTCTCCACAGGGTTGGGATATCCATAAATTTTTCAAGGAATGGGAACATGTTAACTACCACAATAGCAGCCAGTACACCCTGTGAAAATCAGAAAAAAATAGCATCTGTTATCTTGAATATTTTTCTTTGCAACTACAAACATGCTAGACAACATATAACCAAGCAGTGGCTAAACTGCTCAAGATTAAAATCTGTTAATAGCTTTAGTTCCATAATTATTGTGGATGTATATAACAATTTTCCTCTGACCTGCAGAACAACATGAAGCAAGGGTCAAACCTCATCTGATTTCACAATAATTTCTGCAAATACAACCGGGCTCCCTCTTGAAATGCTCTGTGTAGTTTCCCTTACAGTGTTCCTTAGTGAATCCCTCTGCCTCCTGCCACGCTAGGAGAAAGGCCAACTTTATCTACAGAATTAAGAGTTGCTCTTTCAAAGAACGGTTTCAATTAGCATGGGCAGCTCATAGCCAGATTGAGGAAGCTGCTTGACACCATTTGTTGAAACAGGCCTTCTTGGCAAGGAAAAGCAGCCTGGAGGGAAGTAGATGGTTAAATTCTGTTTTGTCAGCTAGCTTTGGGAAAGGGGTTTATTCTCCCATCTTACCAGGAGGCCAGAAAAGATCAGGAAGTGATGCTCTGTGACAGTGGTTTCTCAAAGGAAAAAAAAGACGAAAAAAAAGAGAAAGGGGTAGAAAACTGAGTCTGCCAAGTAATCCCCAGTACCAAAATGTTTGTAGCCACTCCTGATTGTGCTGTATGGGTATGCAAAAGCTCGCAAGATGGGAGACTAAAAGTGAAATGCAACATTCAGATTGTAGATCCTGGCAATGAAATTTCAATACTGTTTTAGCCAAGGAATTTTAGCTTGTTTTGATCAATCAGAGATGCAATATTTATTATCTAATACTGTAACAGGTTGAAATCTAGAGAAGTTGCTTTGGCATCATCAGTTCCTGCAAACAGTCAGCTCTAGAGCAGAATCCCTAACTGGCCCAGAAAGTCACTAAATTATGCTTAGAAAATAAGTTGGCTGCTACCATTAACTTACGTTAGGCATGGCCTGGAAGAAGTATCTGAGTTTCAGCACAAACACCAGCATTATGGAGGCTCCAATCGCTGCTGCTAACTGGAGAGAAATACTTCATTAGAGAGGACTTTCAGGACCATTTTCTCACTTGTATTGTATTGTATTGTAT